CCTGCTAATATTTTTATTTTTTGTAAAGACAGGGATCTCACTATGTTGCCCAGGGTGGTCTCAAACTCCTGGGCTCAAGCGATCCTCCCACCTCAGCCTCCCAAAGTGCTGGGACTACAGGCCTGAGTCAGCCTGCCTGGCCTATTTTTTTTTTTTTTTTTAATTCAACAGATATTCATGGCATACCTGCAAGATTCCATGCCCATAGTTTTTGGCCAGGACTGAAAGTGTTTCTATCCCCAAACTGCAAGTCTTTGAAAGGGCAACCTTTTGCCACTTGGTTTAGCTGCTCAAACCACATTGGCTAATGCCTGCATATGTCTGGTACCAAGGTTTTTGCTCAGTAACTTCTCTACCTCTTATGCAACCCCTCACTTGACACCCTCTACCTGTTGGCATCCAGAAGAAAATTCCATCCTCCAGGTGAGCAGGGAGTTGGCACCTCCCTTTTCATGGACACCATACTTCCGTTAATGCAGCCTATCTTTACCTCAGTGTTTTCTCAGTGTTTTCAGCCATGTTGTAGGTATCAGTGCTGCTGATCTCCACCTGACCCTGCCTTGTCTACAGAACTGGCAAAAACGGATTCTTGTTTTTATAATAGGCATCATTCCCATTCTCATTTCATTTCTGTCATCTGAAATATGTCCTTGTGGCTCAGAATGAACCTTAAATTTAGTTGGCCAGTTCTTATGGACTGAATTGTGCCCACCCAAATTCATATGTTGAAGCCCTAACCCCAAATGTCTCTACACTTGGCCTTATTCAGATTAATTAAAGGTAATTAAGGCTGGCCAGATGCGGTGGCTCACGCCTATAATCCCAGCACTTTGGAAAGCAAGAGGTGGGCGAACCACTTGAGCTCAGGAGTTTGAGACCAGCCTGGCCAACACGGTGAAACCCCGTCTCTACTAAAAATACAAAAGTTAGCCGGGTATGGTGGTGTGCACCTGTAATCCCAGCTACTCAGGAGGCTGAGGCAGGAGAATTCCTTGAACCTGGGAGGCAAAGGCTGCAGTGATCCGAGATGGCGCCACTGCACTCCAGCCTGAGCAACAGAGCCAGACTCTGTCTCAAAAAAAAAAAAAAAGGTAACTAAGGCTAAATAACGTTATAAGGGTGGGGGATCCTAATCCAATAGAACTGGTGTCCTCATGAAAGGAAGAGACACCAGGGGTGTGTGTGTATACAGAAAAGGCCCTTGCATGTAATTGAAGGATTAAAAAAAAAAAAATGAGAAAAGGCCCTATGATGACACTGTGAGAACGTGGCCAACTGCAAGCCAATGAGAGAGGCCTCAGGAGAAACCAAACCCGCCAACACCTTGATCTTGGGCTTCCAGCCTCCAGACTGTGACAAAATAAATATGTGTTATGGCCAAGTGCAGTGGCTCACGCCTGTAATCTTGGCACTTTGGGAGGCCAAGGCGGGCGGATCACAAGGTCAGGAGTTTGAGACCAGCCTGGCCAACATAGTGAAACCCCATCTCTATTAAAAATGCAAAAATTGCCAGGCGCAGTGGCTCACACCTGTAATCCCAGCACTTTGGAAGGCCGAGGCAGGTGGATCACCTGGTAGGGAGTTCAAGACCAGACTGACCAACATGGAGAAACCCCATCTCTACTAAAAATAGCCAGCATAATCCCAGCTACTCGGGAGGGTAAGGCAGGAGAATCGCTTGAACCTGGGAGGCGGAGGTTCCAGTGAGCTGAGATAGCTCCATTGCACTCCAGCCTGGGCAGCAAGAGCGAAACTCCATCTCAAAAAAAAAAAAAAGTTAGCCAGGCATGGTGGTGTGTGCCTGTAGTCTTGGGAGGCTGAGGCAGGAGAGTTGCTTGAACTCGGGAGGTGGAGGTTGCGGTGAGCCAAGACCGTGCGACTGCACTCCAGCCTAGGCAACAGAGCGAGACTCTTCTCAAAAAAAAAAAAAAAAATTTGTGTTGTTTAAGCCACCCAGTCTGTGGTATTTTGTCATGGTGGCCCTAGCCAACTACTGTGCTAATCTTCTGTCTTGTTTCTTTTTTTTTTTTTTTTGAGATGGAGTCTCGCTCTGTCGCCCAGGCTGGAGTGCAGTGGCGCGATCTCCACTCACTGTGAGCTCCAGCTCCCGGGTTCACGCCATTCTCCTGCCTCAGCCTCCCAAGTAGCTGGGACTACAGGCGCCAGCCACCACGCCCAGCTAATTTTTTTGCATTTTCAGTAGAGACAGGGTTTCACCGTGTTAGCCAGGATGGTCTCGATCTGCTGACCTCGTGATCTGCCCACCTTAGCCTCCCAAAGTACTGGGATTACAGGCATGAACCACCACGCCCGGCCATCTTCTGTGTCTTTGTCCAAACCACTGTAAACAATAAACAGGACAGAGTCCTGTGGCTCACCACTAGACACCTCCCTCCAGGCTGATATTAATCTGAAACAGTCCAAATAATCTAATTCTAATCTAATTAATTAACAACAATGACAATTTGCATTAGTTCCTATTTTTCTAACTTGTTCATAAAAATGCAGCAAGACCCACTTTCAATTTTTTTTTTCGTTTTTTTTTTGAGACAGGGTCTCACTCTGTCACTCAGGCTGGAGTACAGTGGCGTGATCTGGGCTCACTACAATCTCTGCCTCCTGGGCTCAGGCGATCCTCCTACCTCAGCCTCCCAGGTAGCTGGGAGTACAGGCGCACACCACTACACTTGGCAAATTTTTGTATTTTTTGTAAAGACAACAGTTTCACCACACTGCCCAGGCTGGTCTCAAACTCCTGAGCTCAAGTGATCCCACCTCAACCTCTAAAAGTGCTGGAATTACAGGCATGAGCTACCCCACCGAGCCAAAACCCATTTTCAGAATGACTTCAGAAACACCACATCTATGCCATTTCAAGGATCGATCATATTAATATTAATAACCTTATGCAAATTTCTCTGTGATCTTATGCATCAGTTGACTCCTCTGGGCCTCAGATGCCCAGTTTGTGACATTTGGGGATAGGGAGTCCACCATCACAACCATCAACACTACCATTTATTGACAGCTAAGTATTAGGTTACTGTGCGAAGTGCTGCAGACCCCTCTCTCATTTAATCCATCAACAATTCCCCTAGGTAGGAATCATTGGTCCTATTTTCCACATGAGTAAACTGTGGCTCAGAGAGGTCAAGATGCTTGCCCAAGGTCACAGAGTAGGTGAACATCAGGGCTGTAACTGGAATCCAGGTGGCTGCACTGAGTACAGGATTTGTACCTCCCTACCCCATTACCTGTATTTGTTCTTCTTCCTTGGAGTGAGGGTCAGTGTGCTGCCCCTTGAGGGGGTGGTCTCACAGCTCCCCTTTGCCCCTAAGGCCTTCGATGCCTCCTTGCCCACGTCTCTGGTTCTGTTAGCCTTCTCCACCCAGGGCGGGTCAAAGTCTGGTGGGGTAGGCCGGGTGCTTGCTGGGCTGCCAAACAGAGTCTCATCCACATATGACGTTCTGGCCTGGACCCGGTAGCTACCCCGGCAGCGGTGCTGAAGGCGGAGGGTCTGCATCCCACTGACGGCGAGTCCCACAGGGTTCTTCATGCTGCCTGTGGTCCCTGGTGACAGCAGGTGTGCTCTGCCGGCCAGGCCCTGTTTCCGAGGCTCCCTGTGAGAGGTCAGAGTAGCACCCCTGAGCCACAGCAGTGCTAATGGAGGAATACTGGTAGTCTCTGAAGTTCTCATCCCAAGGGTTTAGTTCTCTCTCAACCAATATCTCAAAGGGGAGCTGTCAACTTCAGGGGGCATTTTGGAAATTTTTTTGGCTTTTTTTTTAGTTGTCAAAATGGTGGAGAAAGGGGTGCTACTGGCAATTATTTATAGAATGACTCTGGGGGTGAAGGAGAGATGACACCTGTGCCCATTTAGGCACCAACCAGAAAACGCACTATGGTGGTAGGGGAGACAGGCACATTCCTATATCCTGTGTGTACTGATGGGTGCGGGGGCAATGACAGCCAGCGTGGATTCCATGCCTACCTCCTGCAAAGAGCTTTACAAGCACTGTTTCATTTAATCCTCTCAACAGCACTGTGAAGTAGCTTCGAATTTGTCCATTTTACGGATCACAAAACTGAGGTGAAGTCACATGTGTAGGTCACACCTATAAAGCTAAAACGGTGGAAGTGAAATCTGAGTCCAGAGCTTGTGTACTTGGCTACACTGCTCTCGGGAGATCACCGCCGCCCCCACTGCCCCACATTCTGCGACTCCCAAATCAATGACCCGATTAAAAAATGCCCGAGGTCCCTGCATTTTTGAGCTTTCTCCTACCTAAGCATCTTGGTTCGTAGTCATCGGGGTCCTCAGGGACCCCTCCCCGCGTCGTCTTCCCACCAGATCTGGACCCCCCGGCGAGGGCGCGGGGAAGCGCGGTGCATCCGGGATCCGCGTCAATCTGCAGCCCGGAATGCCCGG